AAAGAAAATAAAAAAATCAATCTGCCGTACAGCTCTGTGGCCAAAAAATCAGCAGACGCAGCTCTTAAGGAGATTAACACCGCAAAACAAGTCCTGACTCTCCCAAATGACCTCTCAGTAAAGGTTTTAATTGTGCTTATCAATGCACATCTTGCCAACCTCGGCAAAATCTATGCACAAGAAGTCAAAAAAGGACTCAGGGTGGCCAATCTACCTGAAGTGGTGTCAAACGATGTCGACTCTGGTGCCATCTTCCAGGTAATCCCTCCACAATGTCCAAAGGTAACACCACCCACGGTAGACCCAATCGACACACCCCTTGCTTCACAACATAGTGAAGATCATCCAGCAGTACGACCCAAAATAAGACACCCATCAATCTCCACAGCAAGCACCTCTAGTGAGCAATCACACCTCCAAGCCCTAGAAACCGCTATCTCGACAATTGATACTGACACAGCCACACAGGAAGAAGAAATAGAAATTCAATGTGCTGTACAAGCCCCTGCAGCTGAAAAAAGAACAAAAGAAAAACAAACCCATTACTAAGCTTTTATACAAATCGCACATGACCCGAAGAAATACCAAAACCACGACAAAATCATGATTGGGAGAAAGATCAAGGCTGGCAACATAAAATTTACATTCACCAACAGAAATTTTATCAATAGGGAAGAAAAGACCAAAAGACATCTTGAAGTTGGATCTATTGAAGTACATGGAGGAATGTTAATAGGACGCCACAAATTAAAAGGAATTAGAAATGAGTATACTGAAGCGACCCAACCCACACCTAAATCAGCAAAATGAGTCTTAAAATAATACAACATAACGTCCTCCACTGGCACACAAGACGACACGAACTGTGCAACACACATAATTCATGAAGTCCTGACATTATCCTCCTAAATAGCCATGGCCTCGAAGATAGTGAAAGACTAAAGATCTTCCCTTTCACAACCTATCAAAGAAACAAAACCGGGGAGAGAGCCCATGGGGTGGCCATTGCAGTGAGGCGAGGTCTGCAACACCGAATTGTTGATGACTTTGACCAGAAGTTTTTGGCCATTGAGGTGGACACAGAAGGACCCATAATTGTAGCCACAGCATACCTACCTCCACGTTGCCCTTATCTATCATATCCCGATCTACTGAAGCTCCTTAGACAACAAAACCCTGTCTACATCATAGGAGATTTTAATGGCAGACACAGAATATTTGGGCAGAGAGATAATAACAACGTCGGAAACAGCCTGGCGTGACTAATGGCAGACGGCCGTCTGAATCACCTGGCCCAGACTTCCCTACACTGATAAGACAGAACTCAGCCACAAGCCCATACATTGTCCTCAGCAACAGATACGGATACCTCAACACCCGTATCACTCCTAGCAATATCACCACCAGTGATCACCTCCCAATCATTGTAGAGTTATCAACAAACCCCATTCTCATCCCAACCATCCCTCGATCCGATTACAAGAAGGCTGACTGGAATAAGTTCAAGGAAATCCTGGAAGAGAAACCAGACAATGACCTAAATGGGAGACCCATTTCAGACATTGATCTAGAAACCGAAAGATGGCATGATAACCTCCTACAAGCCAAAGAAGCCTCCATCCCCCCAAAAAGCTTACAGAATTGTACCACATCCTACAAGCTTCCCTGAGCTACAATTACTCCAGGCCCAGTACGAAAGGATAAAAACCCTTGTCAACACCAAAGGCTGGGACCAGGAGCTCAGACAACAATTCAACCAAGTCAGAGTACAGTTAACAGAGACCTGCAGAGCTCATTTCAATAACAAATGGACAGAACTCACCACCAACCTTGCCTCAAAATCAAGAGACCCAAAGGACTTCTGGCAACAACTAAGAATCCTAATGGGAAATGACATCAAAACAAGCCCCTACCTATACGATCATCAGGGTAGGAAATTATACTTAGACACAGAAAAAGAAGCTGTCCACCGAACATATTGGAGAAATATATACCAAATCTCCAACACAGAAACTTACAGTTTGATCAAGAAACTGAAGAAAGGGTTACAGAGGACCTAGCCCTGCAGGCTGACCAGCTAATCCCAGACCAATACATCAACCTAACCAACTTAACAATAGAGAATCCACTAATAGCACCAATCACCATAGAAGAAATCACAAAGGCTATCAGACACACAAAAAATAAAGCACCTGGAATCAGTCAGATCAGGAAACCAGAAATCACAAACATCCCTCCTATAATGATGCACCGCCTAACAAGCATTTTCAATGTATTCACGGTTTCTGGATACTTTCCCCAGAGATTTAAAACTGCTCTACTTACACTAATACCAAAAGCAGGAAAGCCACCCAACAGACCAGAGAATTTCAGACCTATCTCACTGCTAGAAATACCGGGGAAATATTTCGAAAGAATTCTTAATACCCGCCTTCGGTCATAATTTGAAGACAATCAGCTGCTAAATATCCGACAGTATGGATTCCGACAAGCAAGGGGAACATCCACAGGAATAGCTATTGCATATGAGGAGATTACTCTAGCCCTAGCAAACAACAAAAAGATCAACATCATCCTCCGTGACGTTACAAAAGCTTTCGATAAGGTATGGCACCCTGGCATAAAACATTGTCTCCTCCACCTCAACCTACCCAGACCCTTAACAAAAACACTCTCTAGCTTCCTGCAGGACAGGAAAGCCAAAATAAGGGTAGGCCAACTAGTTGGTCACGAATTTCCACTACAAAGTGGAGTGCCACAAGGGAGTGTGCTCTCACCTACACTTTTCACTGTATACACATCACCCCCCCCACACACACACACACACACACACAACAAATAGCACTTACATAATGTATGCAGATGATATCACACAAATCACCTCTCACCCTTCATCACGTCAACATTTCATAAGACTAGCCACTGACAAAGCCATAGCGGCCATAAACAAATTTGAAGAGGAGTGGAAGATAAAAACAAATAAAAACAAATTTCTAATTATCCCGGTTGCAAGAACAAAACCTGGCAACCCCGAGCTCCTCAATTTAGACGTGGGTTTCGCATAAGTAGGGAAACTTCTCGGTCTCAAAATAACAAACACAGGCATCGCAGCCCACGTGAAAGAGAGAACTGAGTTAGCAAACAACGTCCTCACAAAGGTAAAGAGATTTTCAGGATGCCCTGAGAATACGAAAATACACCTCTACAAAACATTGGTGAGGCCAATACGTGAATACTCACCAGTTCCCCTAAATACTATAGCCCTCTCATCCTGGCAAAAACTACAGGCCGTGCAGAATAAGGCTATCTTGTGGGCAAAAGGAATAAGGTGGCCCAACCCTCGCCCGTCAATAAGGGAATTACACTTACACCATAAATTAGACCCTATCAATATACGTATCCACAACCTGGCCACAAGAACCTGGGACCGCCTAGAATACCTCGAAGACCAAAACTACGGCCGCATAAAAGAAATCCACACAATGACAGAGGGGGAGCACAGATGGTGGCCAAAAAGCCTGACGAGAATCAGTCCAGACCCCCCAAACCCAATCTACTCGAGAAGCAACAGGTAAAAATTGTTGCCTGCAAGATAAACAAAATATAAGGAAACCAATGTAAACACTGACTAACCGTCAGATGTAAATAATGTACATAAATAAAAAATAAAATCAGAAACTACCTTCAACATTCCTCGAACGTTGCAATACTGCCTGGGACAGTATTGCAACACGGAGGAGCTGGAGGCAGTCACTTCACCAGCCTCTCACAGCCGACGCCACGATCTCCTCTCGCGCGAGTGAGGAGACCGAGACGAGGGACAGAGGCGAGTGAGGACGGGTTATCTTACAAACTTGCTGACGAATCGGTTTTTATATGTCGTGAGTGTGCGAAAGTTGACTCAACCTCCGCACACAACGACAAATAAACTCCGGGAATAGGCGGGATGGAGATAACCTACGGAAGAAGGAAAAGGAAAAAAAAGTATATGTATGTATGTGTATATGTATGTGCTTGTATATGTATGTATATGTGTATATTGTGTATGTGTATGTATGTATACGTATATATGTATGTGTATGTATGCGCATGTATATGTATATGTATATGTATATATATATATATATATATATATATATATATATATATATATATATATATATATGTATATATATATATATATAATTAATAATAAAAACAAATAAATAAAAGTAAGGGTGTATGCATGGGCTTGGATGCATATATATGTGCACCTGTGTATATGCATGTATGTGCGTGTGCATACATGTATACGAAGTATATGTTTATGTACACGTATGTGTATGCGTGTATTTGTGTGTATATATATGCTTATGTATGTACAAGAGTGTATGCATATGTGTAAGGACGTAGAGTACGTGCATGTACAAGTACACGTGCATGTGTGTTATCTGGAATGTATAGCATATGTACGAGTACATGTGCATGTATATACAAGTAGGCACACATGCCTATGCACGCGTGTATGGGTATGTGTATAGGTACACATGCACACCTAGTGCATGTGTATGAGTCTGTATGGAAGTGGGTATACATGCTTATATTAACATAGAGAATGTTTAAACTTATGTTCACACCTAAGATATATCAATGGCAGAGGGAACAATATTATAACCAGGTTTTATCTTATTTATGTACATACTGAAGTATGTAGCAGGAACATATTTAAAAGCAAAGGGCACCTTCCACTCCGGTCAGCAGAAAAACAGCAGGAAATGAATACTCTTAAGCCTTTGGCCATTACCGATACCACTGACCATTTCACTTCACTTCACGGTGCCGAGTGATGTGAGGTAACTACGCCGAGTGAGGCTGCGCCGGTGTCGACCGAGGCAATTACGCAGAGAGAGGCAGCGCCGGTGCCGAGGTGATTGTGGCCTCTGCCACACTCTCTTAACGTCCTCGACATATTTACGTATCGACTGAACGGGTTTTCCTAACAAGCTCCCGAGATCTTTATC